GATATTGATCCAGCCAAGAACATGAGAAAAGGAAAGAAGTTGCAACCAAAAAAAGTTTTTGTTTCTTCAATAAATCTGCTCCAGTCAAACATTTGGATTGGCATGTCAATCTTAATGGGCGTTGCAGACAGATATTCTCGAATGAGTTTGTCATTTATTGCCACTAACATACTTTTCAGGTATGGTGCCATTAACATATATTGATGGTTTTCTTTGGGTATGGCAATACCATTAGCATTAATCTGAAAAGAGAAATAAAATTCAATGCGAAATTCACATTACCTTCAAAAACATTTAAACTCCTCCATGCAACGAAATTAACTTTATTTTTTATGATTGCATTTTCAAAATTCAAAATGACCTCATCAGATTTTTGCCAAACTCTCAGCCTGCTTTTGCTTTGTTCTTGAAACGGTTAAGGTGGCTCCCTACAGTTGTGATTGTACAGCACATGATTTATTCAAAAAATAATTATTTTCTCATCTTGGCAAGTATGATCACGAAACTCGGCCAAATAACTGCTACAATATCGCGAATTACGAAAAATAAAAAATGTCGTTGAAAACCCCCGTTGCCATGGTAAAAAAGCGATTTTAAAAAGGGCCAATTTGCAGATTCTTTGATAATTTTTTGAAATTTTCTTCGGTAAAACTTTTTAATTTTTTGCACACAGTAATGTTATCTATAATTCCTTGAAATAATAGCATTTGAAAAAAATCGTACGGGAAATTTTTTTTTAATCCTCAAAAGCCCTGTTTTTGGAATAAAAAAATTCGGCCCGTACGATTTTCATGGAAATTGCACATTTTACGCATTTCAAGATTACAGGAAATTGTGTGAAGTTTTAAAAAATTTTACCGAAGGAAACACAAGAAAAATACATTTATTTTTATCTATGTGACGTCACAAAAATCAGGATTTCAATTTCCTCGCGCAACCAGCCGACCACCCAAGAAGGCACGCGCGTGCATATCACAACGCAATTTTAAAAAACCCGCCGCGTGTGCAAGGTCGACCATGTGTGTTGCGTGTAGCACTACCAATCTCGCGTGTGGACAAAATTTCCGCGACATAGACCTAAAACTGTAGGGAGCCACCTTAAAAATCTTTGATACACAGGCCTATATAAATTTTCTTCACTATGACATCATATAGCATAAGGACTTTCTAAAAAAAAACTCCAAGATCTTGGGATATCGTGCATGGAAATCATCAAACAGAAACCGCGAATACATAACATTGTTATAAGTATTTCAAGAACGAAACAGGCTGATATGTTTTGGCATAGTATCTAATTAACATTTTGAGTTTTTTTTTTAAATAAATGCTATGGGGGCTGTGTATTGCTTCTTAATGGAAACACTAATGTAGATGAAACACTACATATCTCTGCAACAAAACCTTACCTGAACGTCCTCGTTCAGAACATAAACTTCGTTTCCCAACTGCTCTTCGTCAGTTGTCCATTGTCGCCCAATGACCAGTGCTGCCTTCTTCGTTGCTCTGTCACCATTTCCATCTTCCCAAAACTCTTCACCCAATTTAATGAGAAAGTTGCATAACTGATTGTCTTGCACACCTTCCCATAAAACCCCTCCTTTACACGAGAATGTCCTATTTATAGCATTCCAAAATTTTTTGGCCACATTCACCTCATCACACGTCACAAATGCTTCCCTAAAAAGTTTTCAAACAAAAATAACGTGTTTATGCTGGGGTCTACACCGTAGGCTATGGTCTTTGCTACTTCAATATATATTGCTTCTTCTCAGTTCGTCCATTCACAGCTCACTTGTTGCTGCGAGTAATCACTGTGCTTGATATAATTTGTGCTGTTTACTGTAGTTCTATTTGCTTTTAATGCCCGCAGCAATCCCTACCTTGCAGGTACCCTAGTTCAACAGATTTATTTCGCATTCGGCATAAATGATCACTTTTCATGAATCATGAATACTTATTTGGTTACTGAAAATCACAGAACTGTTCCCGTTTTTCAGGGCAAATACACTTGACTACACAAAGCTCTGCTTTTCGAATGCGTAGATATTTAAAAAATTCTGGTTAACACTCTCTATGTAAACATGCCCTTATCAGTTGGTCTTTTGCTATGTAGTCGACGTGTGCGGATGTCGCAATTTGAGGCGCTATATATGCATGTATAGTTAACGTTTCCTTTAACTAATTACGTCATAGTCGTTTCCGGCTTTTGTTGCCTACCGCCTAGCCATCCTGTTGCGCTGTTGACTTTTTTATAGTTCGAAGGCAAAGTGGTTTTATCATTTGTCTTTTCAATGAAATCTTCATCATACATTACTATAGGGCCTGTTAACAAATATATTGTCACAGAGCAATGTATCATATAGAAGCACCATGCAATTCAAGCCTTACTATAGAATTAATTAACAGAACATCGAATTTTACAGAGGACCACCTGGATGCATAAATTGGCATTTTATATTCCAGATATAAGGTTTATATTATGAATCATACCGGTTCAGTAATAATGCAACCGTATTTAACATTGCAAATACAATGTCATATAATATGAAGAATTTCGGTAGCCATATCTTATATAACGCAGCGAATCTCAATTAAGTAATGCAATAACATGTGGACGTATTGTTTGAGGGTTAAAATATTTCATTGAAAAAGCGTAAACATTTACAGGGTTAGCTTTGAAAGGGTATTATAACCCCTATCACGGCTGTCGCGAATGACCAGACGTCGACTAACCACTTCGCCGCAAGTGATCAACGCTCGAGTCCCAATTTTTAGTAGATGATGCTAACCCTTAATTAGATAAACATTGTGGCGTTTATAAATATGCCGAAAAGATTTTTCTAAAAGTTCCAACCAAGCCCACATTGTTAATTATGCATTGTTGACATTGAAATGTTACGAGGTACATACAAATTACAGTTTTGTTTGGTAGGAACTGGATAGGCATGTACATCATAGCTCGCTAATTTGCGCCAAACAGATGCGTATGCGGCTTGTATGTCAATACTCTAGCGATAACAATTATAACATGCATTGATATTGTTAATGGTTGAAATTAGTATACTTACATTTTGACTCCATCTTTCCTTTCCACGTCCAAAATATAGCCGTTATAGCGACTAAGGTGATCGGGAAATCTAATAAAATACTTCATCTTAAAATAAAAATTGGCAACGGATTTATAACTGTTTTCTCCAATCTTTGAGTGTATTGATGTCCGTCGGTCTCGATCCGTTCGGACAGATAGCGATTTCTTTGGAGAAGGAGAAGACATCTCTAAATGTTTAGAGCAGGACGTCAATTGCGATGCTAGTCACTGTACTTTCGCCGAAGACGAAATGAGAGACAAATGACAGTTCATGGTGATCAAATGCAGAACTAATTATGCTCGCACGTGTGCGCTTAACACCTTTATAGTGCAACGGAGATGACGTATAAGTCTACATTAAGGTATATATTCCTATATGTCCAATGATTATAATCGTAATTTATTTACTTCTTTTGTTCATATTGCTTTGTTTGTATGCCAGTTTCACAACATGCAGCTATATAGCCACTTCGGTGACATGGCGTTTGAGCGGTTGAAGTGGAAATATGAAAATATGCATGGTAGAGTAGTAAAAAATAACAGAAAAATTGGTTGAATATACCCAATTTGTGGTTATTTTAACCAATCTGTTTTCACAGTGCAGTTGGTAGGTTATCCGATAATCAGTCAATATATATAGGTAAAATACCGCTATAACAATATTAAATTCTCTGTTTGGAATAACGGTAACCGGAAACATAAACTTTACACAAAACAAGTTGTTGGTGTCAACCAAATGGCATTAATTAAACATACAATTTGTGACTCCGGGACCTCAAAATTTGAAAAACGCAAAAACTTGACTTGATTTCAATTTTAAAAATTTGCAAGTAACGTTATTCATATACAACTACTGTATATTTATTACGGCATGCGGCATCTTTTTAGTGTCAGCTTATTTCCAATGCTTATTACTCTTATTATACTATTCCCTTATTACTTTGCTTAAATGTGTGCTTGTTCCTTTGCATGCTTATTACCTTATTACCCTATTACCTTATTGCTTGCTTATGTGTGCTTGTTTCCTTTCATGCTTATTACCTTATTACCCTATTACCTTATTGCTTGCTTATGTGTGCTTATTCCCTTGCATGCTTATTACCTTATTACCTTGTTGCTGGTCTATGCCATGTGCTTAATTCACCAGGAATATAACATGTGCATTGCATATACATTTTGCAATTATGATAAACCTCAGAACTGTTTTTACCTGTCCAACCTGCCCATGCAACTTGAACACTTATTACGCAATTACGAGTAATAAGACAAAAAAACGCAATATACCGGTCTTATAGTGGGCATGGTATATATATGTTATATCATGACTGTATCGGACATGTTGGAACAACCTTGCAACAATGTTAACAAGTTGTTCCATACCTGTTGACAACTTAGGACAAGCAGTGCGAACACAACTTGTTGACGGCTTGTTGGCAGACAGGTGCATGTACTTACACTTGTCCGCAACAATACGAGTCTGCTCCATTCAGGAAATGTGCATTTCTTTACAGATCAGAGTCGCAATGCAGTGTATGCAGGACCGTAAAAATATTGGCAAGATATTGCTGTCGCCTTTAAAGGCCCCTCCACAACCCCCCGAGCCCGAACAACCCAAAGAACAACCCAAACAGGCTGAAGAACCCGCAAAACAGGAAGTGAAGACTGACGAGAAAGTAAGTCCAGGAGTTGGAATGGGCTATTCCATTTAATATCCGTACACCCCCTGTCGAGGATACATGTTTTTTATGGTTATACCCCTGAAGAATTCCAAGCTCAAAACCTTTTACCTCTGAGGAATTCCAAAATTCCAAGCTCAAAACCCTTTACCCCTGAAGAATTCCAAGCTCAAAACCTTTTACCCCTGAAGAATTCCAAGCTGAAAACCTTTTACCCCTGAAGAATTCCAAGCTCAAAACCCTTTACCTCTGAAGAATTCCAAGCTCAAAACCCTTTACCCCTGAAAAATTCCAAGCTCAAAACCTTTTACCCCTGAAGAATTCCAAGCTCAAAACCCTTTACCCCTGAAGAATTCCAAGCTCTGAAAAATTTCATATCAAACCTCTTTACCCCTGAAGAATTCCAAGCTCAAAATCCTTTACCCCTGAAGAATTCCAAGCTCAAAACCCTTTACCCATGAAGAATTCCAACTTCAAAACACTTTACCCCTGAAGAATTCCAGTAATCCTCGACAGGGGGGGTACGGATATTAAATGGAATAGCCCAATCAAGCACAGGGACGCCGGAAAGGGGGGGGGCGCAAGGGGGGCATCGCCCCCCTTGCCCTTTAGTAACGGGGCAGGGGGGGGGGCGAAAGTGCCCTTAGAGTAAAAATTCTAACCCACAAAATATGAGGTACAACGATTAAAAAGTATGAATTACGCGTGAAATGGACATAGTATTGAAATATACGTGAAATTTTCTGGAATATTGGTCAAGAATTAGGTTAACTTTCAAATTTTTTGCCCTTGTTTTGGTGAATTAAGGTTCCGGAAAATTTTTTCCCTTGTTTTGGTGAATTAAGGTTCCGGAATATTAATTAGTGTTTGCCCTTACGTCAACATTGCCCACCTATGCCCTACCCTCGCTCCGGCGTCCCTGATTTATTCAAGCATGATTGAACTAACCAACTGAACAATATGAGTTCGTTTATTGTAGAGACAGATTAATCAAGATGACGAATCATCAGTTTCCCTTTGTCCTGCTTGAGGTGTCTCTACCCGCCTCCTTCGGCCTAGTTCAAAAGTCTAACTTTACATGAACCAACCATATTTATATACCATTAGACTACTACTGAAAAATCACCTCTCCTGCGGATTTTAACGAATTTTTCTCAAATTTTCACAGGTCATAGCTAAAGACGTCGGTTTCAAAATTGTGTTCGGCTTTTT